TGATTTATTTATCAACAAAAAATGCTTAAAAAAATAATAATTCTCTGCAAAATGTTATTTCAATAACATTTGCAATTTAATTGACAAACTGAATATCCTTAAGAATTGAATCGCGTACGAAAAATTACTCTAGTAAAAAAAAATATTTTCTTTATATCAATAAATAATGAAAATTGTACAAATTCTTCGCAAATCGATTTTTTAATCGATTTTTGTTGAAATTTTGGAAACCTGGTAGTCTATTGATTTGAAATCGACTAAAATCGGGAATAAAATGCTTTAAAATCCATAAAAGTCTGAAAAACCACGAAACCCCTGGGAACATCTCGAAAATTTGATGAACAAATTGACTAATTCCTCCCATCTCTCGAAATCACGTGTCAAATTCATCAAAATATTCAACCCCCAATTAGTCTTTCCCATTGAAATAAAATTTTCCTCAAAAATTCCAACTGCAATTTCCAGCAACTGACCCTGCAAAAGTCAATCCCCAAAAGTTGGCCCCTGACCCTCCCCCTCCCCCATCCTAAACCGGTTCCATTCCCTCATTTGTCTCCCGCCACGTGCGATCCATAAACCCCCGGGTGTTGTTCGTCACCCGTGTCCTTGATCCTCCATAACGCGAATCAGACCGGCCGTATCAATTGATAAAATTCTCGTCCAAATTTCATGAATATTCATTGCACACGACATTTCGTGCATCCTCGAGCTGTCTACCACCGAGACCATCAAAACAAGAAATAAACCGTTTGATTTGTGAACAGTGGGAATTGGCAAGGGCATTCGTAAATTTTTCCGAGCCACTTAAACACGCCTGTCAATACCCTTGGAATTGCATTCTCTGTGGCGAGGGGGGGGGGGATATGCAGCAGCAGTGAGTGCAACGATGACAAATTGTCTCGTTCCACCGGGGCGAGGCCCTCCAGTGGGTGGAAAGGAGGATAAAATAAAAAGGATGAGAGAACCGCTCGTAGATCATCCGAAGAAAGAAGCTCTTACGCTTCTGCCCATTGACGAGTCGACGGTTGTTTATTACACCGCATGCATATTCCCTCGATTTTTCAACTCACTGTTTCCTTCACATCGATTCCACCAGCTGGCGAGAACTGTGTAATCTCAGCGATGAGCGATTGACGTTGTATCAACAACGGGTGGGCTTTACATTCAGCCGGAAGTTATGTGGAAGCATGGTGTCCTGGTAGACCTCTGAACACCAGACACACCGAGAGGAAACTCAACATTCACAAATCCTGTTTTCATGCCTGAGTGGAAAAACAACAATCGCCCTATTTTTCAGTCCCTTTGAAGCGTAGATTGTTGTATCGGCGGTGATTCTGAGTATCGCGAACTGCGCAGTTGTGTCTAATCTACCTCCAATAACTGCGGAAAAACCGGTGTTTGACGTCGCACGTGAAGTCTTTACAACTTCACTCGAGGGAACATAAACCGGAGTTGGATGGGGATTGAGGATTTTGTTGGGGGAAATTATGAAATTGATTGGGATGAAAATTGGGGGAAACACACTGGTGGAAACAAATTGACATTTTGTGGACAGTCAACTAGTAATTTTCAGATGAGTGGCAGCATGCGAGTGAACTAGTAATTAACTAGTAGTACTCAGCAAGTTGTGAGCATTCCTGGCGATTTTAACTGGCAATTTTCAGAGTGATTGAGTGATTTGAAGGAGGAAAATTTAGGAAATTTCAGATTTCACTGAAAATTTAATGAAATTCCTAATTTTTGAACAGCATTGAGATGAGAATTCCTCATCCTATTTGAATGTTCAATGATCACAATTCAATGATCGTGAATTTCAACACGAATATTCCGTGTCGAATTACCATGAATTTTCAATCAATTGAAAATTCAAGAACATATTTACCGGAATTTTCTAGATTTCTACTAATTTTCAGAGAATAATTGAATTTTAATTTACAGTTCTCATTGATTTTTCCATGAAAGGGTGAAATTTACATGACGAAATTCTTTGCAATTTCAGTGGAAATAAAATGTCATGAAAATTTCTGAAAAGTGCACCGGAAATTTCAGCCAAAAATTTTCAACGTGCATGTTGGGTAAATCTTATTCTAGTTTGATAGAGAACATTCTCAGAATATTTGTTGAACCCCGCAAAACTCCTTGAAATCTCTATAGATCCCTGGAGATTCCATGAAATCCCTTGAAATCCCGAAAATGTTTCAGAATGTGTGAAATATTCAGTAGCGAAACGGTAAACCGGGTTAAGTCGATTTTTACTATTGGCTAGTTTTTGACGAATATCTCGGAATCTAAAAGAGATAGAAAGATTTTTGTCATGACCTTTTTTGTAGAGCCAATAGAGCGTTATAAAAAAAGTTATGAGAAAAATTTTGCTATCTCTCTTAGATTCCGAGATATTCAGCAAAAACTGGCTAATAGTTCAAATCGACTTAGCTCGGTTTACCGCTTCACTACTGTATTGCAAATTGGACATCTAATGTCCAAATTTCGTCGGATTCATCATTCCTTCGGGATTATGAAAGTCATAAAAAGGTCGTATAAGAGTCATATTAGCCCGATAAACACAATGATTGAAAATGAAATGAAATATGAAACAATTAAAAGAAACTTCCCAAAATTTTTCCCTCTGATTTTTCCATTTCATCATCTTCCTCAACAAAAAATTCATCCAAGACATCTCTAATACATTCATCCATAAATTAGCCATAATATTCAAGTATCTATCATGCAAATTGAATAACTGCGCGTCAAAATCTACCACGAAATGATATAAAAACACCCAAAAAAACATCTCCAATTTTTTCCTCTAATTTTCGTATTTCGCCATCCTCTCAAAAACCGACGAAAAAGTAAAAAAAATCTACAGGGGAATGGATGTGACTGGAGCTGCATTTCCTACCGAGTAAAAGTTGGCTTCTTGAAAATTAGAGGGCTCGTCAGAGGGGGAACTTTAAATTGGAGGCCGCACACCACCCAGTAGCCTCCGCAAATTACCCCTTTTCCACATCTCCAATTTCCACGAGCGGAAATAAGCGCAAAAAAAGTGTTGAAACTCATTCGTTACCTCAGCCGTTAATTCATCTTGAGAGCTGATATAACTTCATCGATATCGTTATCACTGGAATTATAACTCATACCGAGAGATACCAACAGATCGACCACCCATTGCATTGTCTATCTCTATCGACCCTCAACACAAAACCCGGAAGTCAATGCGATTACATTTCTTATCGATGAAACTGGACAAGTATTACAGTACATCGGGTGCGTCGAGTTGCGCGTTATCTCCAATACTCTCGATGATGGGAAGACAAACGTGACGGTTGACCTACATGAAATAGTCGGGCTTTTGATGTCACTGAGGGAGAGGAACGATCACTAGAAGCGCAGAAAGGCGCGGCAAGGGTTGTATATACAGAGTGGCGTTAATACTGCGGGAAAATGTGGATCGAACCGCGCCTGTAATTATTTCTTATTCCAGGGGTTGGCGGCGGGCTTTATTTCGAGGCGAAGACAATGGGTGAAAAATCAATTGAGAAGGCCGGAGGTAAATGGGAGACGGTTTTCATGACTGAGTGGGTTAAAAGTTTCTCATAAAACGAAGTGTTTTATTATTGGGAAAGGGGACGAGGCCACTTACTATGTATCATTGAATGGTGGTGATAATTGGGAGAAGATGTGTGTCGATGATAAGGTGATGACGCTAGTTTGGTGATCAGTGGCATTTTCGTCTACTTGCCGCTAAAAAATTAAAACTTTACACGAAGAGAAATTTTTGATAAAAATTATCCCACCGTTCTACAAAAGTGTATCATGAGTCATCGTTTCCTCATTTCTATCCCGAAATGTAGTAAAAATTAATATATGATGATGAAATTTTATTCTACGTTAGAGAAATTTTATCCTGACGTATCATAAATTTTACCCTTCCAGTCCAATAATTTTTATGTAGATAACAACAAAAATTCTAGAACGGTTGGTAAATTTTACCCTACCAGTACAGTAATTTTTACTCTACCGGCACCGTAATTTTTATTTTTATCAGGATAAAATTTCTCTAACGTTGAATAAAATTTGATCATCATATACTAATTTTTACTAAATTTCGGGATAGAAATAAGGAAACGATGACTCATGATACACTTTTGTAGAACGGTAGGCTAATTTTTATCAAAAATTTCTCTCTGTGTACTTGAATTTTCAGAGAAACTTGAAATTTCATTGACTTTTTCCCCTTCAATCGAATTCAAAGTCGTTTTCCGGAAAATTCAGTCATATTTTTTCAACAGTGTACAAAAATGAATATAGCATTTCAAGATTACGATATTTCAAGGTTTTTGAAACACTTTTGGGATTTCTAGGAATTTCAGCGGCTTTTAAAAACACTCTGGAAAGTTCATAACATATAATCCAATAAATAATAATTTCTTTGGCTTATTGGTCAGTTTATTAGTTAAATTATGTTGGAGCGAACAATGATGCATATTAGTTTAAAAAAATTTAAATGTCAACAATTTCTTTAAACTGTTTTGTGAAGTTTGAACCCCATTTAATTTTCTTTCAAGAAAAGAAAGTTGTATAATTTCAAGTTGAGAGATGGGTTGAAATTTCCGATTTCGAAGTTGTCAGCTAATTTAAAAAACTTCCTCATGATCAGTGTTACCAGATCGTGACGTCACCCCATTTAAAATTGTACAGGTTTTGGCTATAAAACGCCGAAATCTGGCAACCCTGCTCATGATGGCAAGAGGTCGTCAACATTTTAATATCACATCAAATTTATCTATAACCCTTCATCAAATGCTTCCTGACAATACTGTAATGATATTGAAACGAGATTTTAGGAGGATTTCCTGAGTAATTACCCCCTTTGACGACGAACAATTCACGAAGTACATCAGAAAATTGAAAAAAAATAATCTCCAAAAAATCATCACTGCCCAAATCACCGCAAAATCTATTAAAAAACGTGAAATCTAAAAAAAATGAGACAAACTCACTGTGATTTGTGCACTGCTGGTGATACTGGGGCTCGGACTGGGTGTCGTATTCGGCGAAGAGGTATCCCCTCCACTCAGACTAACCGGTGAACTGATGGCATTGCCAACAGACGGAAACGCCCTCGCCGGATCCGCTTGCCACTGTTTATGAATTTGCTGTGACGTATCTCGAAATCTTGCACCCTAGAAGACAAATTAAAAACCCATAAAACACATCGGAGATGCATCGAACGTTGGATAAAGGGTAAAAGGAGAATACGAGTGGGTTCACGGACCCCAAAGGTCGAAAGGAGGCTCGCGTGCCAACGTACAATCCACTCAGGGGGCCTCGACAAACCGCTCGCACACACCGATATAATTGGAATTATGCAACCACAAGAGCTGTGTAATAACAATTAGCACGGTGTGCCGTTAAACATCAGTTTACAGCCACTTTTCTACGTAACATTCGAGTATTTATTTATTATACCTTGTGAATAGTGTCTCAATTCAATATTTCGTATCTGTATTCACATTGTGTTGTCAAAATGTCAGAATATTAATCTCGCTATGATTCAAGTGAGTGCATCTGTGTTGGGAACCTACTGGATTATGGGATATAAACTATTTATAGAGTGAAAGCAATGCGAATGGAGGGATTTACGCTCGTTTGCGTATGACGGGGGGGGGGGGGGAGGGGGATGCTGATGAAAAAGAGGTGGAAGTTTTAGTTCATTGCCGGATGTTGTACACGTGCCAATGGCCCTAGTAACTCTGTCATGTGGTCATTCACTAGTCTAAAAACGTTCTCACTAGAATTGAAATTGACTTTGCACACGATAATGGGTAGTGAACGATTTGTAAAATTATTTCAGCTCATTTATATTGAGGAATGGGTGGAATTTATTGGAAAACTCTGCGGATTTATTGAAAACTGTGGATTTCAGGAGATTTCGTGAAACTCTTGGAATGTCAAGTCTTTCAGAAGTCTTGAAAGAGGATATATTCGTCGCCAATTGATGTAGCGAATCTATCTACTACATTGTTGCAAATTTTTGTCTGAAATTTCGGATACACTTTTTGTAAATTTTTATCGAATTGAATTATCACTGCAATTTCAAGGAATTTCGTCATTGAAAATTCAGAATTTCGTGGAAAAATGGAAGAGAAGTGTCAATTTCAGTTCCATTTTTCTCTGAAAATAAATAGAAAACCAGAAAATTCCGGTGAATATATTCTGGAATTTTCAGGACAGAGACACTTAATGCGAATTAGGGCGGAAAAATTATGAAATTTCAGATTTCACTGAAAATTTAATGGAATTCGGCACTGAATTTTCAGTGAAACCTGAAATTTCATGTGGAAAAGCTTGAAATTTTTAACAATGACAAAATTACATGAAATTATTCTGGCAATAACTTTTCTGAATTCTCAATTTATTGAAAATTTAATTGTATGTGATGTTCAATTTTCACGATGAGTTTGGAAATTCAAGCTTTCATTGAAAAATCAATGATTGATTACTATGAAAGACCCAATTTTCTTGAATTTTCAAGATAACTGACAAATTTACTGAACGCTTTCATTTGAAATTAAATTCAACCTCACAACACCGAAAATTCAGCTGATGCTGACTGAAATTTCAAGAAACTTCTAACAGTGTAGTCCATTGTCCCTGAAATTTCTTTTTTTTTCTACCAGTGTAGCATTATCATAGATCAGAGTAAACCCCTAGGTTCAAATGCCTCAACTTGAGGCCCTCAAATAAAATAAAATTTGTCGAATAATCAAAATGCATTCCTTCTACATCTGTGAGAATTTTTACCTCATCAAACAAATCATCCAGATTTTCCAGCTTCTTCGGTGTATATTTTGTCTTCATCCCGTCGGCCTCCAGATAAAACATGCCAGCAAATTCCCCGATACCTTCCCGGAATGTTTCTTATCCTCCGAATGCGTTATTGCACCCCCTAGATGGCCCAACTAGACGACGCGTGTCTGCCGTCACCTCGGGTCAATTATCCGTCATTAATTCCCCCAAAAAACAGATCTCACGGATTCTCCAGTCTCACGGAATTTGATTGATGCACTCAATCATCCCGAGCCTCTGAAAATCCCCCGTAATACCTTCAAGGTCGCCGAAGGACCTGGGATTAATCCTCAGGATCTCGGCCGCGAGATCGCCTTCTCGGAATTACAAAAACATACCCTCGGACCCCGGTATCACGTTCCATCGAATGAGGAAATAAGAGAGAGAATAAAAAAGGGGATAAAAAATAATTGAGCGATGAGCCGGAATCGCATCCACGAATACGTGACCAAGGTCTAATTGGATGCGTCCCGCGAGCGCCCGATTCAGTGTATATTTCTCTTCATTTGTGATACACGAAGATTGAAGGAAAAAATTCAAATAGATGGGAATGCTTGGCCACCGTTGCAGCTTTATCGATCGGCTAATCTGGATTTTATTCACATCGGTATCGATTATATCCTTGAAACAATGATACAATCAATGAAAACAATGCATTAAATGTTGAGAATTCCGGAAAACAAATTTAAATTGATAAACTTTATATTTTAGTACTTTTAAAATTCAGAAATATCTGAACTGTCATATTTTTGACTACTTTTGTTTGAATAATTGGTATTTGGATTAAGAATCACTGATGGTATGATCAATGATTTTGAATCAGAATTTTTAATATAGAATTTCTGAAAATGGTCTTTAGAATTAATACAAATGATAACAATGCATTAAATGTTGTTGAGAATCCAGGAAAAAAATTGAAATTGATAAATTTTACATTTTAGTACTTTTAAAATTCAGAAATGCCTGAACTGTCATATTTTCGACTACTTTTGTTTGAATAATTGGTATTTGGATTAAGAATCACTGATCGTATGATCAATGATTTTGAATCAGAATTTTTAATATAGAATTTCTGAAAATGGTCTTTAGAATTAATACAAATGATAACAATGCATTAAATGTTGTTGAGAATCCAGGAAAAAAATTGAAATTGATAAATTTTACATTTTAGTACTTTTAAAATTCAGAAATGCCTGAACTGTCATATTTTCGACTACTTTTGTTTGAATAATTGGTATTTGGATTAAGAATCACTGATCGTATGATCAATGATTTTGAATCAGAATTTTTAATATAGAATTTCTGAAAATGGTCTTTAGAATTAATACAAATGATAACAATGCATTAAATGTTGTTGAGAATCCAGGAAAAAAATTGAAATTGATAAATTTTACATTTTAGTACTTCTAAAATTCAGAAATGTCTGAACTGTCATAATTTTGACTACTTTGGTTTGAATAATTGGTATTCGGATTAAGAATCATTGATCGTATGATCAATTATTTTGAATCCGAATTTTTAATATCGAATTTCTGAAAATGGTCTTTAGAATTAATACAAAATAGAAAATTGTGGTTACTTCGAAGAGACGTCGCCGCAGATTGTAAATTGTTCACGGGTTGACACTTCACCACTGGAAAAAATTAACGTGGAGTACATTTTTTTTACTAATCCTCAGTTCTGAAATTTATGAAGAGGAAAATGTGTCGAGTCCCTCAGAAATTGGAAAATTTATGATTTTGTTTTCCTCTCGTAAGACGGTAATAAACGCGGGACGACTCCCCGATGCAGGGTGAAAGTGTCAACACGTGTGTGCTTGAAAGAAAAGTCTGGGACTGACCCTTCGACCTAGCAATAGCCAATAAAAAAATACGGACAAGAAAATCTTCACTTTCTTTCAAAAGACTCCCAAAAAGCTCATGAAATTTTTAATTTTTAAAAAATCGCATTGAATTTTCATGCTTTTCTTACTCATTTTATCTGAATAATGGACCTTAAATTCACTGTTTTCATTGATTTTGTCATGAAAATGACATTTTCCATGACATCACTGTTGAAAGAAATTGAAATTTCATGAAAATTCCACTAGTAATCTTCAGAACGGTGACAATGAATTCGATTTAAGGATATCTACGTACTAATCTCGCTATTGAACCGTTAGAAAACATTTTAACAAACTGAAAAAAATTAGAAAGTTTAATTTTGGAGGAAGATTGATGAAATAATAAAAAAATTGCAAATTTTGAAAATTACGAGCATTTTATATAACCAATTTATAAACAATCAATTTTCCGCCCTAAAAATCATTTACTTGAAATCGTAACAAATTTATTCATATTCATAATTTTACCAGAAATCGATTTCATGTCTAAAAAAACAAGATTTCCAAAGGTTGAAATAATTTCAATTTCTTTATTTATAAACAACGAATGTTTAAAAAAATAATAATTCTGTGCGAAATGTAATTTTAATGACGCTAAATATTCATAATTTTTTTCAAAGTTTTCTCGCCCAATTTAATTAACAAATTGATAAAAATTGTAAAAGATACTTAAATAGTCTTAGAATGGAAAAATCATGAAATTTCATTTGTCAAACAAGAAAATTGGAGAAAAAAATTCAAATAAATGGAAATGAGTGGCCACCGTCAAATCCTTATCGATCGTCTAATCTGAATTTTATTCCCCATGGATATTCCTTATACCACACTAAGCAATGATCCGCTGTAAGTAGCTGTTTGAATAAAAATGTGAGCATAAAAAATATTAGTGACTGGCGCAGCACTCGCGATTTATAAGCGAAGGGTCCCGGCAAGGGGTCACTGTCGCGATAAACCAGGGGATAACGATCTCTCACTCTTCCCGATGCTCAGGAAATAACAATGAACCGGCATCACGACTCGTTGTCCCACCACTGGGATCTTATATCCAACTATTGCAATTCCCATGATTTATCGGGATAATTTTAACCACAAGAACTCGATAAATTCCTCGGATTTGTTCACTCACTAATCGAATTCCATTTTATTCTGTCCGCGTTGTTATGCGAATTATTTTTACATCATTCAGTTGTTATTAACACTCTTTCATTACCGAGTAAATAAACCGAGTACCGTTTTCACTGGCGGATACAAACCGACTGTCGGAATAACTCGTTAGAACTGCGCGTGTGTGTACACCTCAACCTCAGGGTCGAATGGTTATTGCGTCTGTTTCCTCTCGTCGTTTTCATTGTCAGAAAACTAACCACCGGTGTAAATTCGCGGCCCTCCGCTGTTCAAGGAGAATTATTAATTTTTCGGGTAATCGGTTATTTGAATAAACGAGCGGGCGAC